GCAATAATTTTCCAAAACATAATTTGTGTGGAAATATTACGTTTTGTTTTAGTCTGTAAAGTGGCGTTAACAGAGGCCATAAAATCACATGTCATTTATGAATTTAAAAAGAAATCTCAATTTATCCAGAATTGTTTACTGATCCTGGGAGAGTAACGTTAGACTAAAATGCCGGCGGTTCTGACTCACGTAAGTACATTTTAATTTAAACGATTTGCCACTGATGTTTCAAACACGAGTTTTGGGCAGTGTAGAATAGCACTTGTTGTTTGTCACTTCGGGGGGCACCGAAGTGGCTCGCTGTGAACAGAGCTGCTTTTGACAAGGCAAACAAAAATCTGAAATATTGCCCTATTTACATTTAAGTACTAAAATTAATAAAACTAAACCTGAAATAAAGCCCAACTGTGGTCACTGTTTGCTTTTATTATATAGAAAAGAGCAGTTTAGACTTTCCGCTAAATATCTTTTTTGTGTGTATTTCACACTATAAATTCTTGCTTGTTTAGAACAACACAAGGGTTTATGGAAGATCTTCCTTTTAACACCGTTAACAGGAGACCACATCCCGTTCACTTTGGCACTTGTTCGTTTTGTATAGAGCTGGGTGGGGAAGAGTGGATCGCTGATCGTTTAGGCTGCCCCAGGGACATGCTCTACGGTGTCATTCCTGCCCATATTCGGTGGCTGAGCAAGGAGAGCCAGGTGGTGGTGCCGAGTGCAGGACAGTCAAGCGTGGCCATGACATTTGCCTTCGCTAACTGCTGCAGGGAGAGGAAAAATCTGTTTTTCCATATGCTTGTTAAGGGCACTGTCCTCCCCCCAGTCCCCTCTACGTATCTCCATCACTACCACGCTGGCAGATGGCTCTCTGAACATTGTTTACCTTGATCAGTGAGCCCAGATGCGATGTAACTCCATAGGCATTCCCACATCGCATGTTTATTCTCCTGGTCTATTCAAAAAATGGGGCCGACATAATGCAAAAAGTACCTTTTTTTTGCCATCACTCTCACTCATTCTCCTATTTGTTCATTGTATGAGCTGAGTGTCCCCATTGTCCACACTTGTTTGCACCACAATGTTCCTGGACATATGGGCTCCCTCTCGAATGGCTGTATGGACACAGACAGACTTCCAGATGTTTCCATGTAGTGCTCCAGATGCTTTTGGACCCACTTAGGAATAGCAGCACTCCAGTCTATTGTTTTGATGCCTGATTAACCCCTGTGAGAAAATCATAAGGGCACAGAAACTGCCCACTTCAGATTTTAATAGATTTGTTTCCTGAACAAGGCTTAATTCTGGGCCAGTTTGTACAATAAGTTTGTTTGGATCTGCATAACATTCAGGGCAGCTCCGGAGAGCGTTATTGCACAAAGGAAAACCAATTTACTTCCTGAATTGGAGAACATGGGTTGACCTTGGGTTTTCCCTCAGATGTGGCAGTGTGACAATATGGATTCAGAAGCGGGGCTGAACAAGGCGGTCCTGTGGCAGCAATGTCAGTTCAACCTGAAAGATAACCCAAAACATCTTAGTTGGTTTCCTGATTAAAGATATTACTTTTTCCTCCCCACCATATGCCTTGGTCTTAATTGTTTGAATTTAAGAGATTATTTTGCAGCCATAGAGTCTGAAGAGAATTTCACTTAAACAGCTGTTTATGAAGACAACTGGTATTGTCCAGCAGAGATTCGTCAAAGGCTGACATGCAGAAATATCCCCCATCTGCACAGGCATTCAACAGACTGACATGTCTATAATTGTACATTAAAAGGATAGTTCACCTTCAGTTGCTGGTCTATCTATCTAACTATCCCTTTAAAGTAGTGGTCACCAACCTTTTTAGGCCCAAGATCCCTGACCTCGGCCTTTATGAAAGACAAGATCTACCTATTGAAGAATTGATAGAAAAAGACATCCCAGATTGTACTTCAAATTTGAGGCCTTTTACTTAGTATTTTAATTAGTGAGGCTCTGATCATAGCTGATTCAGAAATCAGCCTTTCTTTTTTTTTTTCCTTTTATTTATTAATTTTTTTTAACTAGCAAATTGGCTGATTCTGATACTGATATTTAAGCAAATTTATTTATTGGCTATTTGCTTTATAACAAACAAACTGGCTTCAAACAAAAATATCTGGCCATTTGAAATTAGAGGCAACCACTGCATTGTTTTTGATTTGATTTAGATTAATTTCAGGATTTAAAATAAAAACAGAATGGTCTGACTTTAGGTTTTATTTATTTATTTGCTACATAAAACATCTGCATGAAACAAAAACAGCAGGTCTGAATGAGACGCACTGAATGAGTGGCGCTTATAAACAGGGTTGCCAGGTTTTCGCAATAAAACTAGTCCAATTGCTTTTCGAGGGGGTTTCTCTGTAAAAATCCATTCTGGGGGTAAAATACACGTTTTTCGGCGGGGATCTTCCAGTAAAATTCGCATTCCAGGGGATAAATATCACGTTATTGGGGTCGCTTCAACCTGCGGACATGAACAACAACCCGCGGCAACAGTGTTACAGTAACGTTAGCCCAATTCCGCAGGAAAACCGCGGATTTGGCAACACTGCTTATGAACCGACCGCAATAGCGTTTGTTTGGTTACCGCTGTAAACAAAGCAGCTTTAGACGGAGGAGAAAAAAATGCCATTGCCATCAAAACTTTTCTCAAGACAGTTCCCCTCAGTGATACATAAATATAACCCCAGAAATGTAATGCATTTTTGTACTTATTTTACTGTTATTTTCGGGATCTACTGGGACGGTGATAAAGATTTACCAATCAATCGCGATCGACGGGTTGGCGACCACTGCTTTAAAGTGTATTTTTTTCGTAATGGTTTTGATTCTCTTGGGTATACAAGAATGTGAAGGGACAATAAGTGCTTTGGTTTTGTGTAATTTGTCTAAAAGATGACCTCCAACGCGTCATATTCCATGTTGTTCACAGCTCGTCAAAGTATGTTGTCATCTTTGTGGATCTTTCCAACAGGAGGTAGCGTTGAAGAATTAGGGAATTAATGCACACTAAGGCTTGTAACTAATTTTATCCACTTTTCTAAACAGAAATCATTCATGTATGAATAAACCAATTTGGACACAAGAATAAGGCATATTATTCCACTTGAGGGCAGAACAAGCTGTAGATACGCACGAAACCTGCAGTCATCTACAGGTGCATCTCAATAAATTAGAATGTCATGGAAAAGTTTACGCGTTGTGTTGCGTATCACGCCGCGTAAACACAAAACCATGTCTGCATTTGTGATCAGAGAAAACTCGCGTTTGAATCATCAGTGGCAAATTCTTTAAATATAAAAAACGTACTTACAGGCTGAGTCAGAAGCGCCAGACTGTCCTTGCAAAGTTGGAACTGCCCCACTTTATAGAAACAGCCTTTGAGCACAGATGCATTGTAGGCTACTCTGCAGGTTCAGGAAACAGTCCTCCATAAAATGCACTGCACATATCTGAATATTTGGGTTGAACTGTTCTGGAACCACTGATTTCTAGTTGTGTCCTCTTTTGGAAGGCAAAGCAAAGTAGTTTTGCTTTCACAACGAAACACACATCGTGACACACGGCGGGCTAGAGTGAGGAACGGCCGACGGGCTTGAGAACGGCGTGGCCTGCGGATTTGACAAAGGAGTGGCCAGCGGGCTTGAGAACAGCGCGGCCGGCGGATTCGATGAAGGAGCGGGCTTGCGGCAACCACATGTGACGACCCCGGGCTGGACTCCGCTTTGTCCACGGTGAAAGCCGATCCGGCGATCCACAGCGCAAAGTTGATGTATTTCCTCAGCGATCAGCTCTAGGCATGACGAAGCAGATATCGTCCTCTTTTGGAAGGCCAAACAAAGTAGTTTCGCTTTCACAATGAAACACACAGCATCTCGGTGGCGGCAACAACAATACTACAGTGAGCATAAGTTACGCCTTCTTTCTTTGCGTGATCATTTGGGTGGTGTTATGCAAATCTTCTCACACCGTGATGTAGACATGTGGGGGCGTGTTTAAACGAGCCGTTTTAGGTAAGCGTGGTTGACTCTTAACTTTTATAAAGAATATCTCTTTGGATTTGAGACTGTAGTCTTTGCAACTTTTTACAGATCTTCTTTATGCACCAAGAGCTTGTAACACTCCAAAGAGAAAGGAAAAATTGAAATCGCATCATATGACCCCTTTAAATGGGACATAGTTTGACCATTTTTGACCATGTATTCCATATGTCAGATTTGCATAACAAACTTGAGACTTATTTTGAATGACCATCACCTGATTATCATATAATGTTTATTTAGAATTTAAATACACATTATAAAATATAAACTATATATTTATTGGATGATGAAAGACAGTACCCAGTACAGAACATAAAAATATTGAATAAATACTGAAGTTGATGTTCAGTGAATTTAAATACAATTTGCGATCTTCATTAAAGTATGTATAATAGTCAGTGTCACTTAAGTCTTACTTCACTTCTGAGGGGCTGAGAGCTATTCACGGGACCGACTGCTCGCTCTGAATTATCATGCAGGTTGCTTTCATGTCTCCTGAGTGTTTAAGGCAGTGCACCCATCATTTCTCTGGAGCTTTGCTTTTTTGTACAGAAAAACTCTCTCTTTCTCTCTTTGCGGGCCTTGTGTTTAGCCGCCTAGGCCAAGAATCTCCCGCAGAGTAATGGCAGTAGCAGGGAGCAGCTGGGCTTGTTCCCTGCTCCCTAACCAGCGTAGTTTTATCCAGCTGTCATCTGTAGCCTCTCCCAGCTGCTACCCAGCATGTTAACCCATTTCTGCTGCAGAAAATCAGGTGCACTGTGGGACCAGGCCCAGTCCAGATCTTAACATAACAGAAGTTCTGTTTTCATTTCTCTAAATTAAAGTTTGTCAAGCTTTCTGCTTTTTGTAATTGCGCTGAAACGTTTTTGAATGTAGATAACCTTCTTTACAAAAATTGATTAACTTATATTCTGTTCTGTCTTTTAGGGACAACCTCAAAAATTATCAGTCTCAGAGAGGAACCTGTGGACACTCAGAGAGGGAAAAGTCCAGTGAATAGCACACTTATCCCAGTCAAGGGCATCAACAACCTGGGTAACACCTGCTTCTTCAATGCTGTGATGCAGGTAAAGTCATGTCCAAGAGCTCACATCACTCACCTGACTTTTGGTTTGTGTCAGTTCTGTGTGTTTTGGTAGAACCCAGTTGGTTCATGATCTTGGCTGTTACCACAAATCAATTCAAATACATTGTGGACGATTTTCTAAGACTGCCCCTTCACCCTTATGGCCTTGAGAAAACACTTGACGCTTGCTTGTTTCAGAGGGACAAGCAGTCAGTATTGAAGGACACTTCAGATTATTGTCAAACAGCTCACAAAAGAAAACATAATCGAAAAGAAAATTTCCAATAATTACAAGTATACAGAAATATTATTGGTAACACTTTACAATAAGGTCCCGTCAGATAACATTAGTTAATGCGTTAACTAATATTTGCTAACAAATAAGCAATAGATTTGTTACAGTATTTATTTTATTAATCTTTGTTAACATTAGTTAATAAAAATATAACTGTTAGTTCACGTTATCTCAGGTCCATTAAATTAACCCCTTAACTGTCACTCACGTTTTTGAACATGGGTTTAAAATGGGTTTCAAAGGATGAATTTTGAGATTTAAAGTTTTCAATTGATATATAATTTCTGATGATTTCTAAAGTGTGATGGAGAAAAAGGCAACAAAGACTTTTTTTTGACAAAGGTCAGAACTCCTGTTATGATGTAGATTTTTGAGGTGCACTCTTGTCAAAAATTAATCTATTACTTTCCCTACATAATTGTTTAACAAAAACATTGGTAAAATATCTATTTTATCTAAATGAACAAATCTAACCATACACACACGCACACACACACATACATTTTATATATATATACAGAAATTGAATAAAGTAATGAAATGTAAAACAGCATTGCATATTTGACTGTATAAATTAAAGATTAATCTTTATTCTAAGTTACAAAAGCTATTCAATCAAGAGCAGTGAGTGATTTCTTTGTTGTTGCTGTTTGATTAATATTAAGAAAGTACTGTCACTTTAAGAGAATGCACTGATCCAGTGCGTTCAGCCGGCTATGTCTGCTATAGGATACTTACCAAGACGGGCATTTTGACATAATTTTTGTGTGAATGTGTCCATTTACACAAAATACTTCTGAGAAAGCTTAATATTTGCACACGTTCTGAGGCGCGGGTTTGCGCACTTCGGATGAGCGCACCGGACACACAAATCTTCCCACTGCGAGCGCAAGCTCGCGTCCTCTGGCTCTTAAATGTTTAAACTGGCAAAGCTTAAACAAGTTTAGCTTAAACACAGATCGCTGTTGTAATGTATTGAGAAGCCAGAATGCGCATCCATCAACAGAAACATACATTAGCCGAACCCTGTTTGTTTTACGTGTTACTTTTAGCAAACCATATTACAGATGCGTTGTCAGATTTAAGTTTGAACCGCAGTCCTACCGCATGCCGAACCGTGTGTGGAGAACCGCACGGTTCGATTTTTTTCCGCGAACTGTTCCACCCCTAATAAATAAATATATATATATATATATATTTATATATTAATTAATATTAGGGCTGTCAATCGATTACAATTTTTAATCTGACTAATCACATCCTTTTTCTGTGATTAATCGAGATTTATCGCATACTTCATGAAATTAAGCATAGACCATTTATCTTGTTTCAAATGTTTATTTTGTCATCATTTGCTATATCCAGCAAAGTAAACCAAAACATTGAAGGGTGATTCTCAAAAATCTATATTTTCTGCAAGCTATTTTCAAGATGAATTTAGATGACTTTCCAAAAAAGGACACTTAGAAACTCCAAAAGGACACCAAAGAACCAAATGATATAAGGAGCCCATATAAGCACATATGAAAGAAAAAATCTGAATTTTATAGTATGTGTACAGTACAACACCAAAGAGCTTTTTTTAGCTATTTTAGAGAAACCAAGTTGCGATACCGAACAGGACCACATGGAGATGCCAAAAAAAAACCTAAACCAACCGCCTGCTGACTGCATATATAGTATCTCACAGAATTGAGTACACCCCTCACATTTTTGTAAATATTTTATTATATCTTTTCATGTGACAACACTGAAGAAATGACACTTTGCTACAATGTAAAGTAGTGAGTGTACAGCTTGTATAACAGTGTAAATTTGCTGTCCCCTCAAAATAACTCAACACACAGCCATTAATGTCTAAACCACTGGCCACAAAAGTGAGTATACCCCTAAGTGAAAATTATTATCCAGTCGAGAAAACGTAGTTTGCGTCTCATCTGGTCATACAGCGGTGGTATGTGTTGACAATTCGTTCAGTCTGTACTTCACACAAGTGTGTGACATGTGAAGGCTCACGCTCTTCAGAGACAATCACAGAATATGACAGAGCTCGTGTTTTAAAGCCAAACACACTGGAATGAATAATTCACTTAAAACGCAAGGCGAGTCTCTGTTCTCTCTGCAATCAGCCTGGTTTCCTTTACGTTAATTAAGGATTGTAGTTAAGGATTGTAAAATTAATCGCATGCGTTAACACGTTAATGATGACAGCCCTAATAAATAAATAAATAAATATATATATATATATATATATGTATATGTATGTGTATATGTATGTATATATGTATATGTATGTATATATGTATATGTATGTATATATGTGTATGTATGTATATATATATGTGTATGTATATATGTATGTATATATATATACATACATACATACATACATATACATGCATACACACATATATATATATATATATATATATATATAGATATATATATATAGATATATAGCCTGCCAGGCAGTTTTCTTTTTTTAAAGAAGTGTCTTATGCAAACTAAGGCTGCATTTATTTGATCAAAAATACAGTAAAAACAGCGATAATGTAAAATATTAATTACAATTTAAAATAACTATATGCTATTTAAAATATTTAATTTTTATTAAATGTTATTCAGGTTATCATTCTAATGTGGTAATTTGGTGCTCAAGAAACAGTTTCTTTTTTTAATCAATGATGAAAACACTTGCGCTGATTAATATTTTCGTGGAAACAGATCTTTGAGAAAATATAAAAGCAACTGAAAAACTGTAAAAGCTGTTTGTGTGTTTTGGTTTAGAATCTTTCCCAGACCCACATGCTGAATGACCTGATTCAAGATGTCAAGGAAAAAGGACATAAGATGAAGATCTGCCCCCCTGCTGAGACTAACTTGGTACGTTCCAACTATCATGGACTGAACTAGTCCAGTCGCTGTCATAATCTCAAAATGCCTCACCGCACTGTATGTTAGATATGATATGAGTACTATGCTTTCTTACAGGGGCCACTAACAGTGACTTTGCCCAGTCCAGAACCCCTCACTTCAGCCATGTTCCTGTTCCTCCAAAGCATGAAGGAGCCTGGGAAAGGGCCTGTCTCCCCCAAGATCCTTTTCAACCAGCTCTGTCAGAAGTATGTCTACACTGCCGCCATTTGTAAATATACTCTGTGAAAGTCTCTACAAGCTCTGTGGGTCAGCAAATCTAAACATGGCTAATTGTTCGTCAGTGTACGCCAAGCGGTTTCAAGCCTCCGTTTTAAACCCAAATGGCTGGTTGGATCCCTGCTCTCTGGGGTTGATTTTTATGCCATGTACAGACTGAACGGTTCACTGGCTGTTGTTTAAATGTTGTTTGAATGTGCTGAATGGTTGGGTGGCTCAGACAGGAGCCTGCCAGGCAGTTGGGTGTCTCTCTGGTGCTTCTGTGATATTAACTCAGGTACTGTGCCTTTATCAGACCTGTGGGTTTGTGTGTGTACATGTGCGTTCTGCTCACCTGGCATCATCTCAGCCTTAAGCGCACCGATTCATTTTAGCATATACACATGCACAAACACATCAGCCATTATGAATGCATAAAACTTGTACAATGCTTTGAAAAAGTAAGCACATCACATGAAAAGTAAACATTTATGAATACTTTTTTTGGTGTTTTGATAAAGACAAAATGACAGAAAGACAAACGTTTCACTGAAAAATGCACAATACATTATTTTACAGCCTAGGGTGATGTCATTATGTACATTAACATTGATTTGGGACAAATATAATGTATTTTAATTTAAAACTGTGTGAATGGCGCTCTGCAGCGTGGCAGGATTTCTGTCGTCTGAATCAACGTATCCGTTTGCTTTCACACGTCACATCTTTAAATCTGCAACTTCGCTGGCTAACAAATGCATTAATTTGACCAGATGATATAAACTAATGCAAATAGATGGTAACAATCATGACATTAAACATTTGCATCAGACTTGTGTGTGTTTTGGTCACATTGTTTTAACCATTTGAGGTGCTGCTAACGTTCAAGTCCTCGCAGCCTTGATAGCAAGATACTGCTGTCCTATCTCTGCTATTGCAGCATCTAGTCAACAAATTAATTACTTAGTAATGATATGAAAACATGCACTGCAGTTTAATGTGCACACACTGTTTAGTTGTCGATGTTTTAAATCCCCATCTGAAGTGTCCCACTCTGTGCAGCATGCAGTGTCACGTGTCAAAACAAACAGCACGTGGTGTCAGTGATTTCCACCTCTAGAGGTTACATTACTGTATAATGACTGTGGACCTTCTCAGCTTGGTTCAGCAACATACGCAACCCGGAAAAACTATCGGCATGGATTTTTGCCAGCAGTCCACTATCTGTGCCGATTAATCAGGAAAACTGATACATCGTTCAACCTCTAATTAAAACACACTGAATCTCACATACACCTTTAATGTAATTTCCTCTCTAGGGTCAAGTGACGGCCTTCTGTGCTGCACAGTTTATGTCTGTGCGCTTGTGCAATCCAGCATGTCCTTGACAGGAAAGATCCTGTTTGTTTAATGCGTTTGTTGACTGGCAAACTACGGGCCACAGCTGTTGGTCTGATGGGGTACTTGAACTACTGCGCCATTTGCAATGTTGGACAATGTGGCAGAATGGCATCTTTTGAGACATCATGCTTTAAAGGACAGTGTTTTTGAAGGTGGGATGAACACCAACCATAAAATGGGTGAAGAACAAGTAGCCTGTGTGCGTGTTTGTGTGTTACACAGCTGAGTGCTATTGGCATGGTTGATCGAGGGCCAGGTCACACTGCCAGCTGGACAGATCTGAGCAGCACCAGTGCCAGCAGTGGTCCAAAGAGCAGTCAGCAGCATTCCCTGCTCACCACACACTGCTCCTGGTGTGAGTGAGAGTCCCAGCTTGTAAACACGCACACTGACCCTGAGCCCAGATGTCTGTATCTTCCACTTTCTTTAACTATATTTGATTTATACTGTATTTAATTATGTCTCAACCCTTTTTGCATATTTCACATTGAGATGGAATGGAACTTATTTTGTTTCTGTAAGTGCAGAGATTCAAGCACACATGCACCAGTTCGAATTATAGCACTTTTAAGGATGTTCTGGTTGGCAATGTGAAATAATAGGCTTTAGTTACACTGGCTGCTATTTTGGTTTTCATATCTCAAACATTTTCTCCCTCCTCACTAATAATTTTATGGGGTTCAAAACTATTATGCTTTCTCAGGAAGTTGCTGCTTTTTGGATTTAAAAATACTTGACCTGCTTAGTTTTAGCTATGCTCTTTGCCAAAATAATTTTTTTTTTTGTTGGGTTTCTAGATATTCTGCAACAGAATTATTGCTCTTTGAATTTAGTTCTTGTGTCTATATGGGAAGAATAATGTACAGTTAGACAGTTTTTATTACAAAATAAACCCTGGCTGACAGGTTGATGGCTGGTGTAAAGATGGTAATCTGAAAGTGATTAGTGACCAGATTATTGGCTGCATACCAAATAATTCAACCAGCAGGCAGGCAAACTTTAAAGGGGGCTTCAAGATGACTTAAAAATGATAAACAAAATAAAAAAAACAAGCATTAAAATGAGCATAAAAAACTAAAATTTTAAACCACACCATCAACAACTTTTTTTTTCTTTTCTTTGAATAACCAAGGTTCCCACTTCTTGGAAAACCTTGATATACTGTATGAAGCGTGATTTCTAAATGTAATGTAAAATAATAATTCTTATTATGGCATATTCAGCATACACATTTTTATAAGGAATATAAATTTTTCTAGTTATGCCATTTTATTATGTAGAAAATGCAAGTAAAAATAAAATTTTTCCTCTTACAGACATCTGGAAAGGTCATTTTGGTTAAAAATAGTGCATGGGCCCCTTGAAGAACATTCAGCTCTTAAAACTTCAATAATTCTGAAATGTATCTTAATGTTTATTAGTTACTTGTTTTATAGACACTACTAGTTTCTGTAATCTAAAAAAAATGTTTGAAAACAAAACCGCAGTCATTACAGCAGCCTACGTGAAGAAGCGTTCAAATTTTTTTGTGGACAGTTTGGGACTTTGAAGTCAAAAAGATTGAGAACCACTCACATTGCCTAATAGTTTTTTGGGGTAATTCTGCTGATATTTCAGGTGATAAATGAATTGCTTAGTTGCCAAAGTCTGTGCTTAGCTCTGAGATGTATGTTTGTGTCTCATAGAACTGTTTGTTGTGTATGTTTTATGCTCCGTGTAAGATGCGTGTATGGCAGTGTTTTATATTCGTCTGATGTAGTATGCTTTTGTGTGCCTGTGTGCATTGCAGCATTGTACTGGCACTGTCTGGCGTCTGGTACTAACTCATCCGCTGTTAATTGTGTTAGTGGTTACAGCTGTCCATCTGTGGCAGGGCCATATTAAGTGCACCGCTACAGGCTCCTTCAGCCTTCTCTTCCAGTGGAATGAGCTTCCAGAACATTCTCGGTCTCTCTCCCACTGGAGCCCATCTCACCCGTCACCTTCTCCAGAACACATTCACTCCGTTCCTGCCCTTCTGCAGCTCATGCTGTGCTTGTACCAGCCTGATCCGCCTACTGTAATATAATTAACTGTGTGTGTGTATGTATGTGTGTATATATATATATATACAGTGAATTACAGGCCTCTCTCATCTTTTTAAGTGGGAGAACTTGCACAATTGGTGGCTGACTAAATACTTTTTTGCCCCACTGTATATTACAGTGGTATGAAAAAGTGTTGGCCCGATTTCTTATTTTTTTGCATGTTTGTCAAACTTGAATGTTTCAGATCATCAAACAAATTTAAATATTACACAAAGATAATGCAAGTAAATACAAAATGCAGTTTTTAAATGATGATTTCATTTATTAAGGGAAAAAAGCTGTCCAAACCTACGTGGCCCTACGTGAAAAATTAATTGCCCCATCCTGTTAAATCATGAAAGAACTGCAATTAACCACATTATTTTAGAAAGCGGAGTTAAATTTCACATATACTTTTTTTTTTTTTTTTACATCCTGCCCAGTGTTGTCAAATTTAATGTTTATATGAAAGGCAATAAAAACAAATATAGTGAAAGTAACCATGTAGGCTTTATATTATGTGCAAAAAAGGGTTAAAATCATTACATTCTAACATTGTAACATTACAATCTACTTTTTATAATGCACGCAGCGGCGCTCGTTCACTGAAGTCTATGAAGTTTTCCGGAGAATCGCGCACAGAAGGCACATGCACTCCTGACTGCAAAAAGACAAATAGCCGCTTTAAACTAGACATGTTAATTATATCTTACGAGGTATTTTAAAGCTCTTAATATAAAGTATCTCTCATGTTTCTGACAAAAAAGGATTAGCACTTTTCCCCTCAGCAGCTCACCGTGTCCTCCGCTATTTTTCAGATGTGCTGTATCAAACTAATGTATATCGATATAGGAGGTATTGCCTCATACCATATTGTTTATAAATATATATTGATATATCGTACAAACTCGATATACTGCCCAGCCATCTACTATCAGGATGTCCGCAGTGTCTTAAAAAGTATTAAAAGTTGATAAATCAATTTAGAGAAAATTAATGCCATTTTCCAAGGCATTAAATTTTGTATCATCTTTTCATTATGTATATTTGTCGAATAGTGGGGTTCTGTGTATTTTATTTATGGACTCCCGCAAGATTTGACATCATCTGTTACGGCGTTCACTGACTGACTGCGACCGCTGTGTGATAGCATGGGGCTTGTTGATCCTGCTCTCGCTGAATTTCTGACCATTACCGCATGCTCCCATCCGCTCCCACTATTTTTGTGTCCGCTCTCGCAAACATTCTAATATTGTATATAATTTTCACGCATCAGGGCTCTGCTATCAATATGTTGGGTATTTAAATCCCCTTTGAATGAGCGCTCGCAGTCTTTAGTCTTTCAGTCGATTTCGCGATCACGCTCGGACTGTGTAAAGGGAGCACATTCTACGATAAAAGATATTTGTCAATGAGCTCAGGATCTGTTGAGAAGCAAATCCTCCAACATCTTGTCAGTTATCTCTCCTTACTTTTGACCCGTGATTAGTCAAATCTGACTTCTGCAGCTCGTGTTGAATGCA